GCTGGTCCTGCTTCCATCAGAGTTTTCCATGCCCCAAGCCCACAGGTTTCCCTCCTCCCTCCCCAAGGGCTGCATCGGAATGGAGGGACGTGGGCACCCTCATCCTTTATCAGCTCAAACCAAGGGAGCACAGCTATGTCCCCCCAGAATCAGTCCCCTCCCTCCTCCTCCTTCCCACAGCCCCCTCGCACCATGTCCAGCATCCCAAAGCTTTCGAGCTGGGCGCTGATGGATGTGCCTTGGCACCCGCAGCCTCCACGCTCTTCAAGGAAGGCTGGAGCTCCCCTTCCCAGCCTCTCCCTTATTTATTACCTGGCAAGACATGGGGTAGGGGGATGGAGGGAAGGGACAGGGCAGCCACTGCCACCATCCCACACCCCAGGGGCCAGCACAGCCTTGCAGCTGCCCCTGGCCTGTGGGTGCTCATGGGTTCCCGTGGGTGAAAATGGCTCTTCCATAAACAGAAAAGAAGGACAAAAAAAAGAGACACCTTTGGCAAGTGCCTCATCCTTGGAGGTACCTTGCCATGGGGATGGGCAGAGGGAGAACCCTGGGTCCCAGGCTCTGCCCAGGGCTGTGCAGGCTCTAGGGCCAGCTGAGAGCCTTTCAGTGAGGGAAGAAGAGCCATAAAACACATATTTCCCACCGGAAAGATGATGAACACCCTCTTGCAATGGTTTGACTCTGCAAATTGCATTTACCAAGTTAAAGATGCTCTGGCAATGGCATGGGGCTGCTCAGCCACTGGCCACCCTCCGAGGGCTTTCCCCAGCTCAGCATCAGCTGCTGCTGCTTTGCCACCCCTCGGTCCGCTCCACACCACCTTTCTTAGGGAAAACAGCTTGGATCCAGCCCCACTAAGCACCTCCCAGCCCCTCTGTTGGGGCAGCCCCATGGTCAGACCTCAGCATCCATCTGCATCTGCCATGGCATTTGAACTGGAGCTGTGCAGGTTCACATCTTAGATGCAAATGTTATTTTAAGCAAGGACCCCTTCTTCCTTCTTCTCCTCCTCCTTCTCCCTCCTCCTCCTCCTCCCTGGCCGAAGCAGGAAGACATTGCAGCAGGCAGCCGTGTTGCAGCACGCAGTGGAGAACCCCCCTCCTGCCAGGCAGGGCTGGCTTAGTCAAGGGAGTAATTGGTAGGTGCTTCTGAAGTGCCATGAATAGAGGGCACTCATAGCCTTTGTTTATTGACTCTTGAGTGATAATGAATACTTCCAAAGATAATTATTGATTTTCTGCATTTGTAGTAAACCTGTTTGGCTGGGGAATGGGTGGAGCGGCACTGCGCCAATGCTGCGTGGAGGTGAGAACGGGGCGGTTTGGGCAAAACCAGGCTCTGGCTCTTCCCACTGAGTGCAAGCCAAATAAGAAAAAAAAACCCAAACAAAACAACATTTATAGAAAAATATTTGTGCAGCTCCAGGGCAAACCCAGCTTTCTTCTCTCTACTAGGGGGAACAGATTAAAATTTAATCCTAGTTAAACACATTTTCTCCTTTGCCTCCTCTTGCATACCTCTTGAGCATACACAGCTTTGCCCTCCTGATCACTTCTTCTCTCAGCCCCGGAGCTTGTCCTTCTTGACGGCAGCTGAACACCCACAGCGATGTTCACCCAGAGCAGGGACTGCTCTCTTTTCTCAATCACCCCCAAAATCGAAGTCTGAGGGTGGGAGGGGACAGGGAAATTGGGGTCTTTAAATGTGGGAGAGGATAAAACAGGAGAAGGCAGGGCTGGGGATTCTGAGCATCCCCACCTGCCCCTGAGCCAGGCAGGTCCCTCTCGAGTTCCCCAGAGGGTTTCAGGCACTGAGGAGGGCTTTGCAGGGTGAGGGGGTGCCAGGTGTTCAGTCGTGTGGTGCAGGCTGTTGTAGGGCTGCGGAGCTGGGCACGGCGAGTGGCGAGAGCTTTGTAGCAACCCATGCAGGGTGGGGGAAGCCCAGGCTCAGCTCTTTGTGTCATTTAGAAAAACCCAAAACAAAATCATGGAAGAAGAGCTCTCTAATGATGAGGGTTTTTTTGTTAAAGTTTGGGTTTTGGTTTTGGGGTTTTTTTGCTTTGGAGGAAATTGTGCCGCTATTCCCCAAGTACCTGTTTCTCTTATTCCCATCCCAGGGCTCACTCTCTCTGTTACAGTTTATTGCACCCATTTGGGTGCAAACGTTTGAACCTGGCAGAGTCCCACGTTATCGCTGGGGCTGTAAATAACCCGGGGTGGCATTTATTGCCATGCTCACAGGGTGAATAACCGCCGGCTGTATGCCGCTGGCAGACAGCAGTCTCGAGGGGTAGGCAGTATCTGCTGGGGCTCGGGGGATGCTGTTTTCAGACTACAGTCATGACCACCCCGAGGGCTCGAGGCAGGGAGGGGCAGCGGGGGATGCCTGTGCCCTGTGGTACCATCCCCATGGCTCCTTGCAGGGGCCCCAGCCTGGGTTTGGGGAAGTGTTTGCAATGCCGTGGGCTAATAGATACACTAGAAATGTAAACTCTCATTTCTGCTTATGATATAGTGCTTTTTCTGGGTATCTTGTAATGCTTTTTCAGGCTGTTTATTTATGAGACAATTTATTACAGTGCAGTTATTCTATAGCAGGGAAGTCTATTCCTAGGAGCCTCCGTTAATCGAGCCAATTGCTTAATTGGCTCGCCAATGTCTCCACAAGGTATGCCAGGAGAGAGGCTTCTTGTAATGATCGCAGCCTTCCTCCTGCCCACACGCCACCCGTGCTGCTAATTTAATAGTGCAAACATTTATTATTCCTTTTATTTGGTAGTTAATTTTAGGGCATTTAGAGCTGTTCTAAGATTGCCAGTGGAAGAGGGTGAAATGCCCTGGGGTGCAACAAGGGCCCTGGTTGCAGCTGGGGGTGGTTGGACTCATCCTGCAAAGCCCGCAGGGATGCAGGGGCTGATGCCTTGCAGGGTATTCGGTTAATGAGCCGCAACGAGCAGAGCAAGCGGAGGGCTGAGGCTGCCCGTTTGGGTCATTTGCCAACAAAACAGAGCGAGACCAGGGCACGTGTGTGCTTGTACCTGATCTCTCTTGGAGTTTAATGCGCTCAGAAGGGAAAAAGGCTCCTAACAAATAGGTTGTGTGTCATGGGAATGGCTGGAAGGGCCAGAGGAGGCCCAGGCTTGGATTTGTTTGGGTGCTGAGTGCCTGTCCCTGCCCATCCGTGGGACAAGGGTGATGGGGTGGTTGGCAGCACCCACTCCCACCAGTGGGTAGCTGCCCCGGGGCCGGTGGGTGCCTGCTGCATCTGCTGGGGGTGCTGTCCGTGCCCTCCCCCAGCCGTGCTTTTGCAGCATGGCTGCTCTAGACAACTCAAGCCCCTTTCCCCTGCTCTTTCTGCTCTGCCCTGCTCTTTGCCGGCTGTGACAGTCCCTGGAGGGTCTCTGCTCCGACATCTCTTGCCCGTGGCATGTGCAATGTGTCCTGGGGTAGAGCAGAGTTGCAGCTTGCAGCTGGCCTTTCCCAGCCCCGGCGTGGTGCCCGTTGCCTCTGAGCAGTTTCCCGGGTGGGAGTAGCCTCCCAGCGAGCATCTCTCTGCTGGGCATGAATGTCGTCCTGCCCTATCGGGCTTTTTAGGCAATGTCTGGCAGAGCTGACTGCGTTTCTATAAAGCCCTGCTGGATCTGTGCCCGCTTCCGCTGCCACCGCTTCCCCAGCGCCCGTCTCCAGCCGTTCGCAGCCTCGCAGCACAAAGCCCCAGCGGCCGGCCAGCGTGTGCCGCCCAGGCTCTCACTTTGCAGCTCTCGGGGTGGGGACACAGCTGGGGCCACCTGTCCTGGGGTGCCAGCGGGGCAGAGCCCTGGCACCAGGACCACAAAGCATAAAGGATCAGGGAAGGAGGAGTTCAACAGACAACGCTGTCAGAATGAGCCTTCTGCTAATTTTGTATTTATCGCAAGAAAGCGATTAAGTTTCTCTGTGATTTTTGTTCTTTCTTGGCTCCCACCGCCTATTGTTACTGGCTCCATTATCCCCCCGTTGCTTACATAAATGTATCGTGCTGGTTTCCAAGGCACAATAGAGAGAGTCTCATTCATCCAAGGTCACCAGCTTTTACTTGCGCTTCAAAGCATCTGGTAGAAGAAGCATTTTCTCCTAAAGACATTTTTATTGTACTCGGTGCAGAGGCTAAGGGAAATCACACCACTGCACTTCTGCCGCCCCAGCCTTTCCCTCCCTCTCTCCATGTGCCCAGTCCTGGTGGGTTGAATCCTACCCTGGAAGGTGAGGAATTGTTTTCTGAGCAGGTTGGGACCCACTGCAGGGTTTCCCAGCCTGGCACTGCCCAGCCCCCAAGCTGGGGCCAAGAAGCAGTGTGTGCCATCCCTGTCCCTCCACCAGTCCCTGTTAAATGGGAAGGGATGGGGAGGGGGAAAAAAGAGGAGGTTTCTTCCAAAATCTCATGTGTGTAGGAGTCCTGGTATGAACCAGTTACAGAGAGGTCCACCATGGCCTCCTGCTGCTTTCTGCCTCAGCCATCTGAGCTGGTGGCTCTAGGCTCTCCCGCTTTCCTCACCTGTGGCTGGTAACCCGTTGGGAGTGGGCAAACACAGCCTGTGTTGGGGGACAGGGACTTGGGGGTGGCCAGGCTGGTGCTCTGCCCTGGAGACTTTGTCCCCCACAAAGGGCGAGGCGTGGGGGTGCCCACGGTCCGGCAGCTGGAGGTGGTTCCTCGGCTGGGGAAGGCAGTGCTGGGGACGGAGAAGACGCCGGGGTGGAGATGGGTCTGTGAGGGCGACAAACCTGCCTGGAGGGTGGGAACCCCCCAGAGCCTCTGGTCCACGGTGACCAGCGGGGCAGTCCCCGGTTTCCCCAGGGAGAGGAGTGGACCCGGCCCAAGAGGGGCCACCGGCTCTCCCCGGAGCTGCTCCCCGGCAGCCGGGGCAGTACCGGGGCGGTCCCAGCCCCCGGGCGGCCG